ATCGTAAGTCAGCAGGTATCTATCAGGTCTGGTTGCCCAGCTACCAGTCAAAGTCAGCAAGAAAGAAGGGAAGAAGAGAGAAAGTAATGAAGCAGGGAGAGCAAAGAGAAATAAGTGCGTCAGTTTCAGAGGTACCTTGACATTTCTAACTAGTATTCGGGAATTTTAAATTGAACCTAAAATCAATTTAGAGATTAGTTGTAGGAAAATTGTAATTTTGGTTGGACTTAATGTCGTGCGATTTAATTTTGTTCACAGTGCGAGCCGCAGTCTTGTGTGCTTCCAAACTTACTCGACTGTCTGTCTGCAGCGTCTGCGGGATTGTTCGTCGTTAAAACACATACAAGGTAGTTTATAAAATCATGTCAATCTTTCTGTTTCTATAAACATAAGTCCAGAAATGCCTCTCTTCCAAGATACTGGGTGTTGAAGTATAATTTTGAAATCGAAAAAAGTATCTTCAGAGTGTGTTACGATATATAGATATCGAATAGTCGTAGTACTAACATATGTATACATACAAAAATTTTCGTGCTTGACACTTTGACACCTGTTGAAGAAAAATGAAAATTATTTTCTACGCCACTGACTTTCATGAAACATCTATTGCATTTTTAAATACTGTATTTTTACATGATTCCTCCTTTTGGTGAAACATGATTTGAATGAGGTAAAATTCGCATAAAAAACTATAAAAATACGCACATAGTTCTTAAAATGTTCCGTTAACGAAATACACGGTGTTGAATTTTGAATCGAGTAAACATCATTTCTTCGGGGTGTGTTAATTAAAATTATGTACATGTAGTACAATACATACAAATATTTTCATTGCCAGTGGCTTAGAAATTGTGAAATGTTGATCCTACAGGAGAAAAAATGGCGCGAAGTAGATTGACACTTTTCACATAACGTCGTCATCAGTTCGAGTTAGAGCCTCTGAGGAACAAAGTTGGTTACGAACATGTATGACAGAGAAATTTTACGGATTAAGTCAGTCAAACATATCCATACAATTAGTCCATAGACATTCTGTCCCTGCCCTACCGGTAGTCCACCTAGCAACGTCGCCTCTCCCCGATACCTATCCCGGTCAGACGTGGCAGCGCGGAAGGAATACCAGAACACTTACCAAGCTCGGCACGCCGCCAAAAGAAGAAGCAGGCGCGTATTGAAAACATTTCTCTGATAAGTTTTAAGGGCAAATATACGGGGAAATCTATGATGTGTGAAATCTGTAAAGTAAGTGTGTATAATTACTAAGGCTCTGAGCGTATAAATATAATAACATCAAAAAATAGAGATATACCCTCCCCCACCCACCTACAACCCCGCACCCCCTAACTTCTTAACCCATTTTTTGTTTAAATGATCAGGATCCTCTGGAACGTAAACAAATGAAGTTTGAGCCACTGGACCAGTTTTCAAAAACTGCAACGCTTTTTCGTCCCTGGGCTCGTAGTAACCTTGTGACAATGTTTCACCAAAATCCGATCGGTACTTCTCAAGTTATAGACGGGCCAAGTATTACCGAACTGACCGACCGACAGACAGGCAGGCAAACAGATATACAAATGGTCAGATAGACAGACAGGCTGACGGAAATAAGTGACATGCACGCATTTACGTTGAAAATAGCGAAGCGACGGAAATCTTCTTAATAGCCACATACTTCAAATAATTATTCGATAAAAAATGGTATATGTTATAATCATTTACATTTTTACAGGTTTTAAGTATTTCTATCACCATCGTTTGGTTTTCCATACAAAACTGAATAATGAAACTGACACACTGATTTTATTTTCAGTAGAAAGGTCAGATCCTTAATAATTTTAGCCTACTGGAATTTGAAATTATAACTTTTGAACACTACGATACTACAGAATTATTGATAGCTATCAGAGTTATTCATACAGTTTGATGATTACTTTAATGATATAGTAACGTGACATAATTCTGATGCACCTCGTATATAATCAGTTTGCAATTCAAATTAAGCGCTGAATATTCAGAGGTCAAATTTTACATTACAATTTTCGTCTCCAGACTTAAATTACCATTCTGACAAAGTATACACTGAATTTGATAAAATGGTACTAAACAGTCACCTAATATCACACACTAATGATTGATATTCCATCAAGAAGAAAACAACATTCAAAAACTTGAACGTCATTCTCAAGCGAGAATAAACTAGTTTTCATTTCCTGGATATTAATAATAAATCGGCAACAATCTTATATGGAAAACACATTCATGAGTGGCCAGACCATTTTCAGCATCGAACACATAAGTGATACTGCTAAAGCATAAGTCTGGCTGGAACGTAAAAAAAAATGACAAAAAACCTAGTAAAAGTGTGATGCCAAAACTACTATGAAGGCCTTATACAGTTTTACACACAAACTACATACATATATGAGTTCTAGATTATATTTCAGAGAAGAATGATGATTTTCTCGTATCAATCGATGCAAACTAAAAGCCGTTGCTCAGACACTGAACTCTGCCATACTGAACACGAACAGTCATAACCTTATTATTGAAAAATAGCTTTGAGCATGACTAATACGTTTGCCAGTCAGTTTGAAAGGTTTTGTTTTCTTCGCGCTGAAAATGTATTAACTATAAGGATTTTTTTATTCATGTTGATAGAATTTGCTTGTAAGCTATAAATACATGCAAAATATTGTTGGATTATTTGATTTAGATTAGTACCCTGGCTACCAAGAATTCAAAAATCCAATGTTGAACAAAAAAGTACAAGTGTTCCGTTTTATCTATCTCTCGACCCGTTTTTGGTTATGTCAATGTCACAGCGTATGAGCAATATTTACCAATGAGTGTTACTATAGTCTTACCTACAAAAACGTATATTAGCTGATATTAAAATGGGTCAGTCAAAAATAGACTGAAGCTACCTACTTGACGATATTTTGTCTAAAAGTGTTACACGATCGAATGAGCGATCTATATGATTATATAATATAACCGTAGTCGAACCGTACTTTATAGTAAAACATTCACAGTTAGCGTGTTATGATCAATATATGCGAAAATGAAATGATAAAAATAATGATACCTCACTGTCTGTTAGCCGCTAATTACGTAACATTAAAATGCAATACATCAAAATACATAATTACGACGCTCCCTTCGAGATGGTGGCAAAAGTAATTTCGTCGAAACTTTCTCTTTATAGGTCATTCATTGTAGATATTGTTAATATCCTAAGGTAGTACCAATGGCCAGACATTGCCAATGCTTGGAACTAAATAAAGCAATTATAAGAGAGAAGATGCATCCAGTATGGTAGATTATAATAGTCGAAACATACCATTTCAGGTTGGCAGTAATTGTGCTGTTAATGATGCCCATAATCTATCTCTATCTAATAGTACTTCTAACAGGATAATGCAAATCTTGCTATGCAGTTTGTAAGCCATAGGAACACATTCGCGTTCACAACTTAACGTTTTTGAGATTTGCAAAATTTTTGTTGTTACGATTTCTTGAACATTTGAAATATTTTCTCCCTTCCTGAAGTTAGTCAATACAGTTACTGTCTTAATGAGACTGCGATTACCAGGAATCAATGAGCTATCTGAAGTCTAAACCAATTATAGAGATGACTGCAGTGACAAATTAATTATATGATTGTAGAGATTTCGCAGATATATTCTGTTGAGCTTCAGGGAACGTCAGCAGTTTCATACTTAAAGTTATGTGCCCACTTGGTTAATACAGGTGACAACATACATACAGCACTTACGCTTCCTTAATAGGGTCTTTGACGATTACATCCACAATCTTGCAGACAGATATAAATAAGTTCAAGAACAACAACAATTATTTGGAGGCTAAGATTTTGGATGGACAATGTTCCTAAAAAAGCAATTTCCGGTGTAAGAAAATGTGTGCATGTGAAATGCAGATATTCTGACCATTGACATGTCCCTCCTCCCAAATGGTACAAAATGCCTATTACGTTCTGGGCGGGTTTACCAATTTTTAGGTGAGCTATTACTTTATTCAGCCCAAAATTTGCAAACCAGTGGAGAAATAAAGTACTTGTTATGGCTATCAACGTAGGGTTCTAGATTAAAAATTGCAGTACAGACCCAGAAATGCTGTGTATTTTTTTTCTCTGTGTGATCAGATATGGATATAAGTGACTTTTGGGTATGACTTTTTGAACTTTTAGATGTAGCCTTAAATATTTAAGACCTGTTTTTAAAGCTTTAATAGTCATCCCGAGTCGTATGGAGAGATATACATAAAACCTTATTTTGCGATGGGTCACAAAGTATATTGAAAGAAATGTTCACATATACGTATATAACATATGTCATAAAATCAGAATTCGTCATATACAATATAAAATAGCGAAAAACTTGATATGCTTGTCCAATATTCCGCGAATAAATTGCTGCTTAGCAAATGTCTATGAAAGTTAGAAACAAGAAAATTAGATTGGCATGCATTTAAAGCTTTATACTAATAACATTAATTAAGAGTGTTACATAATGCATTGTTTGATAATTATATGACTGAAACAGAAACAATAATTTATGATAGGATTATTCATAAACTAATAAATATAATAACTTTAACAACACTAAAAAAACTAGAAGAACTTAAACTTTTCGTAGAAATTGCACCCATGGCTTGTTAAATATTGATACAGTGTATCATTTAGTAATATATTAATTTTTTTTATACATAGTAATGATATGCAAAGCTATGATGGCATAATAGAAAATACTCTACCCATGTCTGAGTTTCCTCATCAGTATAGTTTATAACTGTAATATTACAGTCAATTGTACGATTGTCATTTTCGAAACACCACAATTGAATCTCAGAAATAACCAGGCCTGGCATGATTGGAAATAGAACCTAATATTTGCATTGTTGATACAATATATTTGACAAAAATGATACAATAAACATTTTATAGATCTTTATGCCGCAATAATATGAAACATGCAACTTACCTTTCTATTTTTGTTCCCTTGTCTATCAACCACAGATCGCACATTGATCTTGACACTAGACTTAAAGCAATAAGAAAAAATAGCCCACATTCTGGACTTGACCATCCTGGTACTGCAATATTTAATAATTGCTTCAGTTCAATGAAAAATTTCCTATCTACTGTTGCTTTTGTTTTGTTTTCACTTTTATCTGATATCATGTACTTCACTTCCTCTTCTACAGTCTTCTTTATTTTCCTTCTGGAAAATTGAATAAAAATACATAGTTTAAGTTGAATATAACAAAATATTTTGAACCAATATTTTAACAGTTTCTTTCAAAGAGTAATATGGTGAAAATGTAACCTTCTTTATTATACTGACTTTGAGAATTATGATTGATTGAACAATATAAAAAGTTGACTACATTCCAAACATAATATAGACAAGGCACTGCATGGAATTGAGTTTGCAAAATGTGAGGACTGCACTATATGAACAGCTATCATCTGGGAAGAAGCTCTTTTAAGTAATTGAAAAGCTACATAGCATGTATTCCACCTATTTGCTTTATACTTAAAAGGGGGGAGGGTTTGAAAAAAATTGATCAAAAAGTGTGCCGGCAAGATACGGATTATTGTTCCTGGACCTTTTCTCATTTGATATCTGTTCATAAAGTGTGGTTCTCACATTTTGCAAATTCAATTCCATCACCTGCACAAAATTAGTGACTTTCCAGAAATTCTTCAAAATGATGATAGGGATCATAGGTTGTTAAATGAAGCAGAAAAACAAACATTGGTTCCAGCTTCAATTTAATAAAGGTGGTATGTAATGTAAAAATCAAAAGTAAACCATTTTGGCCTAGCAAACTAGCTTGAAAATCACTTTAAAATAAATTCATCTTAAACTGTTTGGGGTCTTGTAGGGGAAGATTTTAGCTTTGATTTAGATAATAATCAACTTCAAAAATATTGATTTTTAACCGAGTTTTTAATCATAGAAGATGAACCTTTTCAGGGTTTTCAGAAATTAATTGGCTCATAGCTTGAAAACAACTAACTTTAGAGAAAGGCCAATGAGGACCTTTTTTGTTCATAATGTTCTTTGAAATAAAAAAAAGGGTGAAGTGAAAAAGCTTTTTTGTAATTTCGTAAGACAGGTGAGGATTAAAAAAATTGACAAAAAGTTCAAAAGATCTCGATTATTATTCTTTGACATTTTCTCAGTTCATATCAGATTATGAAGTGAGGACCTCACATTTTGAAAACTCAATTCTGTCCAGTGCTTAGACAAATGAATGAAAGGCGTTTGCAAACAATTGGAACAATAATATTTTGTATGTATTCACGAACGATAGACGTGTGTAAAAAGTGCGCTTCCGATTTTGTCGAAAATCTACGTTAACACTTCAGTAAATCTGATTTTTGAAAGGAATCACAATAGTGCTGTGAGAAGTATGTTTGCAGTGAAATATTGGTTATGCACATATTTTTCATTTGTGGTTAATTGCAAATAGGATACATTTCTCTTAGAAAAAGTGTACACATCAACAAAAAGTTTGGTTACAAAAAGTGCCAGTTACAAAACAATAACCATCAGAATAACTAGCTGGTTTTATAGTCTAGTTATCCAGGATCATATCTCACAAATATCTGTTTGCATCAAATTTTTTATACTTTTGATTTAATCATCCTACAATTTTAAAAAGAAAACAGCCTCACAATCATAATAACCATCACAAAACAGAATCATTAATTATAAACAAGGATGGAGGGCAATGCACCTGAAGCCTAGGTATGCATCAAATGTAAAACAGAATTTCAGAGAGACAGTGGTTACTATAAATGTGATTCATGTTTTGGGAGCGTTCATAAGGATTGTGTCAATTTAACATCTTCGGAAGTGCGATGTATGCCACTACAGAAGAGGGTTCTTTTGTTGATTTGAGATGAATGCAAGCAATTAATAGCAAGAATGCCCTATATGGTGAAAATGATGGAGGAAATTAAAAGAGAATTAGCAGATTTGAAATCAAACTACAGAAAAGACACCTATGCAAAAGTGTTAAAAAATACAACATCCGCGCCGGACTCCATTAATAAGCCTAGTCTGCATACCATAATAATTAGGCATAAAAGCCAACAAAATATAGGAAAGAATAAAGAGGAGGTGTAAAGGTTGATAAATCCATGCGAAATTAATGTTGGAATTAGAAATACTAAAGAAACTAAGAAAGGAAATATTGTATTAAAGTGCGACACAGAACAGGAGCTAGGAAGACTCAAGAAATCAGCAGAAAGTAAACTAAAAGGTGAATATAAAGTTAATTTACCAAAAAAGATGTTACCGAAAATTAAAATTGTAGGGTATGTGATGCAGTTGAACGGACACTTTAAGATACATTATATTAGAAGACATAAAAATAAAGATACCTCCACAATTTATGCGGAATGTTCAGGAAACTTATATTCTAAAATAATGAAAAATGAAAAAAATTACAAAGACTGGGAGCGTCTGCCAGTGTATGAGGATCTGACTGTATCTAGGTGTTTCAAGTGTCAGGCTTTCAACACAAAAGTAACCGGTGTCTTAGAAAGCAAGTCTGTGGAAACTGTGCAGGGAGTCACAATACCACAGAATGTGAAAGTCAGGAGACGGCGTGTGTGAACTGTAGCACGGCCAATAAGGTGTATAAAACTAAGTACGCAACAGATCATAATGCATTTAGTGCAAACTGTCCATGTTTAAAATACCAAATTGGAATCTTGAAGTCCAGAACTGACTATAGTAAATAAGCATAATGGTAAATCACATAAATGAGGAAATTCTTGATATAATTAATTAAGACAATGGTTCTTTGAGTGAAATAATGGACAGTGAACAGATAAAAACCTTCTTGTCACAGAATGCACATTCATTGGCTGTAACTGTGGTTCATGTTAATATAAGAAGTATCAACAGAAATTTGGATAATTTTCTGGCTTATATAAAGTTATATAATCTAGCTTTTACGTTATTGTTTTCACGGAAACCTTTCAAATTGTGTCTCTTAAGAACTATAATTTACCTGGCTACCAAACTTTTTAAAATGAAGGTAATTGCAATAAAAATGATGGGGTTATTGTTTTTGTTAGGGATGGTATTAGGGCAAATTTCTCCAAGTGCCAATTAAGTATATCAAGGGCTAGTTTAGGTAGTCTCACGTTTGAAAGGGATGGGGTTTTGTATGGTATAACGTGCGTTTACATACCAACTCCAATATCAAAGAAAGACTTCACTCATGATTTGCACATTTATTTGGAGCATAATAGTTCTGCTAATATTGAAATATTTCTGGGGGATATTTACATAAATATTCTGGATAATAAGGACACTCTGGTGACAGAGTATCTGTCAATGATGTCTTCTCTTGGCTTTAACGCATTTATCAATAAACCTACTAGACTGTCTTCAGGAACTTGCCTGGACCATATATTTGTTAGGCAAAAATTAAAAACCAATTGTTTATTATTAAATTCTTGTATATTCAATGAGGAAATAACGGATCACAGTCCAAGAGTGCTTTGTATAACTAATAAAGCACAACCACTCAGTGTATGAAAAAACTGTTAATACTGTATAATTTGGTGAATTATTATGGTAATGTCAGGAAAAATATCCAGACAATTATAACTAAAGTAAAAGTATGGATGTTAGTGTAAGTAAAATATTATTGATTTTGATAATGATTTTTCAGATCTACAATTTCGTGGATGGAGTACCTTGGTTGTTGTAAAATCCATTTTTTAAGTTCTTTTTTAAATGATTTATTTGATTTAATTACTTTTAATGACTCTGGTATGAAGTTACAGAATTTTGGTCCCAAGAAAAACAGAGATCGTTGTGTAATGGTTTTTGATGTTTGTGGAATACACACTGAATTTTGATTGAATCTTGTTGGGTAGTTATGAATGGTACGATTCAAGTATTTCGAATATTTGAAATAATGTATTAGACCACAATAAAAATAAATTTGTCTGCAATCTAATAGCTGAGCCTCCACATACAGATAGAGGATAAACAATAGCATAATATAGATTATATAGATATTTCTTATCTAGAATATCTCTGAAGTACCTGAATTTTGGAATAATACAACTCAGTCTCTTCACAAGGTACTCTGTATGGGTATCCCATTTTAAGTGTTTGTCCAAAATCACGCCTAAGTATTTTATTTTATCGGTTGGCTGAATCTCTTTGAGATCACTGCTTGTATGAACTTCAAGTTTTTTAAATTGTGGTGTGTGTTTTGAAATCATGTTCGATTGTGGTTTTGTGTATGCCACTGGTTGCTTTCATATCATATTTATTTCATATATCATATCATCGGCAAAACCGATAACTTTACCTGTACTACTTATTTTGAACAAATCGTTGATAAATAGGTTAAATAAAATGGGTCCTAATACTGAGCCTTGAGGTACACCGTATGATATAATATGGAGTTCACTGAATGTGTTATTAATTTTGACGCACTGTGTTCGATTTGACAAATAATTTTCTATAAGTTTGTATGTTATTCCCCGGAAACCTAAGTTTTCTAAAGTTGTTAAAAGCGATTCATGAGTAATAGAGTCGAATGCCTTTGCCAAGTCAACAAAAACACATGCACCAAACCAACTGCATGGTTTGCCAATATCGAGATTCGTGTATATTTTACTTGTTAATTTTACAATAGCATCCATAGCGTGTTTTAAACATGTAGGGAATACTATTCATACAAGAATTTATCAAATATGACAGTATGCCGCAGATGTTGGAATGTATTCTCTTGAGAGTATATGCTGTTATATTACGTAGTCCTAGAGATTTTCTTATTTATTTTCAATTCATTGATTATTGTCTTTATTTCATGCGTATCGGTTGGTTCCAGATATAATGAGTTATATAATCTGGTCTTACTATAATTTAATTTCTCCGCGTTTTTTATGTTTTCTGACAACCTTTTCCCGATTTTTGAAAAATATTCACAAAATTCATTTGCTATATCTACATCATTACTCACTAGTTCACCATTTTCTTTTTTAATTGTACTAATTTTGTTGTTTTGTTTTTTGCCTTGTATTTCATTGATAAATTGACACATTTTGGAAACGATTTTGTAGATTATCAAGCTCTTCTTGGAGATATTTAATTTTAGCCTCTTTAATTATTTTTGTCAGTTTGTTTCGATATGATTTAAATTCATTCAAAAGTTTAACATCATAAGGATATTTTTTGGTTTCCTTATATAATTCTCTGTTTTTGTTGATGGAGGTAATAATCCCTTTTGATATCCATGCTTGTCTTTTTATTTGTGTTTGTGGAATCTTTACTGTTTTGGTGCATTCAGCAATATGGCCTTCAATGCTAGATATAAAAAGGACAAATGCATTTTCGATATTAGGTTCGTTATATACTACAATCCAATTTTCATTGAGTAAGTTGTTATTTAGTTTAACATAATCAATGTAAATTTTTGTATTATTCACTGTCTTTTCAATTTTGGTTGATGTAGTTACAAGATCGATTTTGAGCAAAGTAGGAAAATGATCAGAAATTTTGTATTTTAGAATTGCTGAATATATTTTGTCAAGTTCTAAATGTGAATTTATAAACATTGAAAAATGAATGAATAAATGAATAATAAAATAAATGAACTAATAAAACACATCGCATCTTTGAAAAGTAATAGTGCTCCTGGCTATGATGGCATACAGGTTGAAACTATAAAGCGAACTCATTTTGAAATTTTAACACCATTATTACATATTTACAATTTAATTTTGGTAACTGGAATTATCCCGAAAGAGTTTAAAACGTCAATAGTTATCCCGATACATAAATCAGGGGATACTACATCTATTGGAAATTACAGGCCTATAAGTTTAATAACAAATTTTGCAAAGTTATTTGAAAAATGTCTTAAAACTCGATTAATGGATTTTTTAAAGCTAATAATGTATTATGAGATAATCAATTTGGATTTCTGGAGGGTTACAGTGCAGTGGATGCTATGCAGAAATTAATATCTGAGATTGTCAATAATCTGAACAATGGCAACAAGAGTATTGCTAATAAGCTAATCGAAATTCTTCACAGCAATGGTATAAGGGGAGTGGCTTATGATTTACTGAGGGATTATCTTTCAAACAGACCACAAGTCCTAAAACTAAATAACAGAACAAGCAATGAAAAAATAATAAAGATTGGTGTCCCACAGGGTACTGTTTTGGGACCGCTCCTTTTTATAATTTATATAAATAAGATGCTAAAGCTGGACACGAAGGGTTTAACTATTTATTATGTTGACGATACTATACTTCCTTTTGCAGGTTCTAGTTGGGAGGATGTAAAGTGTAAAACAGTGTATGGTCTAGGTATGGTAAAAGACTGGTTACAAGAGAGTAAACTAACATTGAATTTATCTAAGACAAACTATATTGCGTTTTCGTTGACAAATAAAAACTGACCAAATTACAGCACTATTATGTTGGATGATAATTATTCTGTTAAAGAAGTGTCTCAAACTAAATATCTTGGAATCATTATTGCCCAACATTTAAAGTGGCAGCCGCATGTTGATTATGTATCGAGAAGCGTTAGAAAATTAATCCATAATCCATGATTGCTTGAGTTCAGTTAGATTCTCGATTGATGATGTTGCTAAATCTGTTGATAAATTAAATGTTAAATCAGGACCTGGTCCTGACAATATTCATCCGTTAATGATTTCTAATTGCTCGCAATTCCTATTACCGAAATTAACTGAAATTTACAATTTGTCATTGCAATCTGGTGTTTTCCCTTGCTGCTGGAAAACCCCCTTCATCAAACCATTATATAAAAAAGGTGATACATCTGATGTCAACAATTATAGACCAATTTGTAAGCCTAATGTTTTAGCAAAAATCAGTTGGTACATGAAAAGCTTTCCTGTTATTTATCAAGGTTTATTATTACAAACCAACATGGCTTCATGAAGAATGAATCAACTATTACTAATTTAAGTTTATATACAGAAAATTTAGTTGATGCAATGAGCAATGGATTAGCGACTGATGCTATTTATATAGACTTTTCTAGTGCCTTTGATGTAGTTAATGTTTCTTTGCTTCTAAATAAGCTTGAAGCTTATGGTATCAATGGTGCATTGTTGCAATGGTTAGAGTCTTATTTGACTGATAGAAAACAGTATGTCAAAATTGATAATCATATATCATATGTCATGTTCTCACTTGGGACCATTGCTATTTCTTGTTTTCATAAATGATATAAAAAAATTGTTGTTTGCTGATGACTTAAAATTATATAAAGTAATTAGATCTATTTATGATAGATACTTAGTGCAAATTGATATATATTCGTTACTTATTTGGAGTATATGAAACAGCATACCTTTTAACATCAAAAAGTGTTATTTTATTACTTTTGGTAAATGTAACTTACAAGATGTTGATTATAACTTTGACAACGTTGGGTTAGAAAATTTAGACTCTATAAAAGATCTTGGTATCATTTTTTATTCTAAATTATCTTTTAATTATCATATTGAACACATTAGAAATTCAGCAATAAAAAAAATCAATTTTTTAAAGAGATTTTAAAAGTATTAGCACCTTCAGAACTCTGTACTATTCTTTTGTACATCCAATTCTAAGCCATGGTTCTGTAGTTTGGAATCCTTATCTTAAATATCAAATAGATTCTCTTGAAAGAGCCAATCATGTCTTTTTAAGATATGTTGCATACAGAACTGGTATGCCAATGAATTTTACCGATCACAACTACACAAATATTTCAAACAAAATTATGATTCCAACGCTTGAAAGTGCTAGGAACAGGAATGATGTTTTATTTGCTTATAATTTATTTAATAACATTATTGATAATTTCAGTTTATTGTCAAAATTCAGACTTTATCTGGCACCAAGAATGTTAAGACATAATAACGTTTATTTTCATGCCATGCCACCTAAATCAGATCTGATAAATCATTCTCCTGTTTTTAGATTATCTAAACTATGTAATGAACACAGTAGTTGGCTTGATTTGTATAATTCGAGTAATTATATTGTTAGAAATTTAAATGTACAAATATGGTTATAAATATGAGAGTTGGGTAAGAAACTGTGGGCAACAAATAGTAATAGCCAAGAACTTCGACACACTAATTTCAAGATCAAAAGTGTTATCAAAAAATAAAAATATAGTCAATGAATATGCTTAGTGACAAAAATTATTGAGTTAAAATAAGCAGGAGTTAAAGCAAGAGTTCCAAAAATGTATTATAAAATTATATATCCTAAGCTTATTACTGTGTTTTGCTTTGGGACTTAAGTATCCTGTAATTCAATACTAAATTATATATGCAGGATACACAATTTTATAACAGACAAAACTTTTTGGAATGTTATCTCTGCTTTAAAAGCAGCAACAGCATTTAGATACCACTCCTGATATTTTTTAATGAAATTAACATGAGAATAATGATAATAATTGTTAGAGTATTAATGCATAATAGGATTAAAATATGAGTAAATAATAGAATACAAAAAAATAATAGCCCAAAAGGCTGGGGATTGGTATAACTATTTTTCACCCCCGCATGTGTAGGTAATGTAAAAAAAGTGCAGTACAATATCATAATATACATCACATGTAAGGAGATAAAAGACTTTAGTACAACCTACCTGTCTAGATGTTTAACATTCTTGCTCCTGTTTAATGCAATATACCAGATAGCGACTAGTGCTCCTGCCCCAGCAAGAACATTATTTTTGTTCATTAATTTGCTATAATTCGGTGCCATCACTTTTACTTCACTTCAACACAGCCCGTCCGAATAAAGTAATAATTTGTGACTAAGCAGAATATTTTAAATAAGTACTACACTACAGGAATATTCATTTATAGACTTTGATCATCCGCGACATCAATTGCTGTGCTTCAGTTTTCGAAGGCAACTTGGAAGGCAAACACAACATAACCCTTCCTCGCGGTCTTCCTGTCACAATACACGTCCACGTCAAACAAATGTCAATACGTCAGGGATTTTGAAAAATCACCTGTCTTTAAAATTCGATAAGTAATCGCATGCCGTTAGACGCAGTGTAGATACATATCTTATGATTGTTCAAGTTAGGTAACAGGAAACAAGAATTTCTCTTTCAATATCTATTACGTCAAGAACCAGATTTTAAAAGAATTCAAATTACTTGTCATTCTGGTTGCCTAACATAAACTTTACAGTATCACTGGTTGCCTGTATGATAGGCGGATTGAATTATAGACAAGTCATATTGAAATTAAAATGGTACGAAATATATGTTTCAAAGTTATGAACCGGAAATTGTGTAGTTGTTTGATCTTTGAATATATTATAATTATCATTACATCAGTGGGGCTAATTTCTCGTGCTTCTAGCCTACACAAATTACAATTTTTTAGAATTATAGTATGAATCACTGTCATGACATTCATCAATAATCACTGTACTATTTACTTGACATGGTTCTTTTGAACTCTCACTGGGTTCACCAATGAAAATAAGCCATATGGAGTAATCATGACTGAATGCTACCTTATTGGTTGGTGTCAAAACGTCATCAACCGTGGTGACCGTTGATTGGTTCTTTCTCCAGTACACCTTTCTACTTTCTAGAATGACAAAAATCTGACGTTTCAACTTGGCATCTTCTCGGTAGACGTGCAGTTACATACTTTGCCGGCCCTTGGAGTGTTTTACAATTTTTTTATGTGGAAAGTTGTGAGAGAAGTGCAAAAATGAAGCACTGGGTCTTCGTCGTTGCTGCTCTATTTTTATTTATAGGTAAATGTCAAGTACTTTTCTTTATTGTGAAGTTTTTTCTAACACAACAAATTTTAGGATCCATCCGGGCTGATGATGCTGAAGAACCAGCCACCATCGACATAGATTTAGGAGCTAGCAGAGAAGCATTGAGAACAGGTAATTTTTAATTTTACACATTTCATCTACAACATTGTTTGTATATCTGCATCTCATGTTAATCCATCGTGGATATATCTATATTTAATAGTCATTTTAAATACATATTGACAGGATCCTTGCATATCGGTGAAGGAGTTAACATAGCTTTTATTAACTTCATATCAGTATTGGATCGTATTTTGACCTATAATCTGATGTTTCCAAGGTTTTTTCTTGTGTTGTTCTATTTGAGAGTAGTGTTAAAAAAAGGACAGGACAAAGCAAGGTTGATGGTGTTATTTGTTGATTTTTAAAAGTGCTATTTCAGGCTTCCTTAAATTCAATGTTCAGTATGTCAAAGCACAAAAGTAGGTATACATATTAAATATCACATTAATGAATATTAGATGGGAAGATGTATTTAAACTTAGAAATCATTTAAGTTACAATATTTTAACTTGTATCTATTTTGCAAAAGGAAACTATAGTTGGATAATTGCATTGAAGAAATAAACATGACTCTTCTACATTTGAAACACATTATATGCAAAATACAGTATAGGGTATTTTTCATAAGGTGTTAAATTCCTTTTTAGTAAGCTTTTTTGATAGAACTGCTTTATTTGAGACTAAATGGATGAATGTTTTTTAAAAACTATATTATTTCCTATCACTTTTAATTTACTATTTATGCACATGTAGTTTTCTTTTCTATTCAAATAATATCTTGCTATATTTTTATCAAGAATGTAAGATATAAAACAACAATAAGTAGTCAGCTAAGAAATTTTGTGGAAAAGTGAAACCATTTCATAACTCATTGCAGTGATTAAAATTAATATAATACGCCAATAACATGGTGTGGGGTATCTTACCTTATCATTCACACCAGGTTGCAAGAAAATAATAATACTCTCCTCTACTCTTGCATAAACATAAATTTAACAGTAATTTTTAAATACAGACTGTTGTTCTCCATAGCACAAATATTGTTATGATAAGTGCTATGTAATAATTAATGAGGTAATGCTTTTTGACTACAAACATATAAGAATCCATTAATTTGAGTATACCTCCCAAGAATTTCTTTCATATATTGAATCTTATATCCCATACCTGGAATAATAATAATAATAATAATATTTATTTGCCAAAATACAAAAAATTAGCAAACAAATATGAAAAAAACCACAGAAGGCATCGCCTGTGTGTGTATTATATCTTAATAACTAACAATCAATCATATGTGTATAGCAATTATTATTGGAAATTCTAAAAAGTATTAATATAATTGGAATTTTGTTTTAGTTTTCTATATAATTATGTATAGTCATTTGCTGCACAGTACAAACCCAGTCTTACAATTTTCATCTGAATGGTCTTTGGATATTAGATGAGCCTATTCGAAATCATGTGTTATGCTCGTGGTTATAGGATTTCTTTTCATTAAAATAATTATGGTATTATAAGGTGGTGGCATGTAAGAAATAAAGTTTTCTTGTATCAAGTATCCGTGTTTCCTGATATAAGTTGTTCGTCAGATATAATCTTGGCTTATGGAAAATGGCATTCAAAACAGTTTTTTGTGGTATATCCAGGTCAGGTATATGTCTTGCAGGTGGCACCCCAGGCTGTGATATCATATATTATATGGGTTTCAACTGTTCTTATTCAAACTAGAAATTTATAAAGAAAAACGTATATAACGTCTGTGACATAAGTAAGGTTTTCATTAATGTCAATAACAGTCTTCTGAAAAAATTGGCTTGCTATAACTTTTCCCCCAGTAGCATTGCATTGGTGGAGTCATATCTGCAAGAGAGATATCAAACAGTAAATTGATGGTGTGAGGTCTGCAACAAGGTTCTCATCTATATTAATATAATGCCCAAATATACAGATGACACATCAGTATCTCTTGCAGCTAGCTCTCTGATGGAAGTACAAAAGCTGGTTTTATTCCAAGTTGTTGCTAAATGGTTAAAAGACTAGGCAAGTTGTGTTCACAAGAGAAATAAACATCCAAAATGAAGATCAAGTTAAATTTTTAGCCTTTACAAAATTGGTGATTTCCTAAATACCGATTTTAACATGTTGTGATAGTTCAAAGCTAAATGCAATGTGCCATGTAACTGTTTTTTTTTTCTCCTGAAAATGAAACTATTGTCAGAATTAATATAACTCGTGAAACTTATCCTGTGATTTTTACGTTCATAGAACTCCATTGCCTGCCCTAATCAAACCAAATGTGTGTATATGTTCAATTTGTTTATTATTCTGCAACATGCTTGCTTGTCGCTTTGGGGGGTTGGATGTGCTTTGGGAGGATGCCTACGCCAGGCATCCCCAGGGTTCTTTGGTTTTATGCAGTGCCATCTTAAAATTGTAACAATAGCTTCACATGATCTTGGCATGCTACAGAACCATTCAATCTACTGTTGCAACATTCTGTGTGGTAGTGCGAGCATATATGCAACACATACATATCTTAGTCCATAGATGTTACCAATAAATTTTACCGACAAAGTCAAATTTAAACATTGATGACAAATCAAATATCCACTTCATACCATTAAATATTTTTTACTACTCTTGAACGAATTATCGTTTCTGCAAAGGTGCGTTGTAAAGATAAACAACTGTAATAGTCCACTGAAACTATGCAACAAAATAAGAATTTTGGACAAAATGTTCACGAGTTTCGCAAAACTAAGGAGTTAGCATGTTTTGTTCATATTGTGTGCAAGTATAGGACTGAAAAGATCTCCATGCTTATTCGAGGAAAAGAAGAGAATGGAGTAGCAGCAGTAAATAATGAAGAAAATGTGCCTATTTGGGATGTAAGCAGTATTAGCCATATTAGTGATTTTATTCATTGAAGTTTAATTCAAAATTTCTAACATTATAATCCTGTGTAATTGTATGAACGGTTGTGTTTTTATAAATCATTTTATGTACTATCGGACTACTTACAGTTTATATGCCTTAGCTTGCTTTTAACTGTTTGTAAAAGTGAAATCTTCATTTAGTATAAAATTTTTTACGCATATTGTATATCATGTGTATGATATCAGAATAAAGATTATTATTATTATAGACAAAAAGAAAGAAAAATTAATGAGTCGTCACCTGGAAGACAGATAAACAAAATATACTGTCACTAATTTGCATTGCATGTTGCAGTCCACTGTATCCACTAAACATACTACAATAAACAGAGATTAAAACATATACATATTTGATTTGATTTGGGCAGACAATTGAGTTCAATTGCCAGATTTGCCATTTAATCTAGATTAATGTAGTCTAGACTCTAGAGTATATGGTCAGTAGGCATACTCATTTGGGGCTTATATTAGAGGATCCATGGAAGGCAAAAGAATGAGTGGTGTTTTGCCATTTTATTTTGGTTATAACTAAAAACAGCAAAGGAGATGGCATGAAGATGATCTCAATAGAGCACATGTTAATTTTATGTCATTACAGCATGTTATAATGTTGCATCATCGATTATGTTCAGTTGGACAGCAGTTGCTTAGGCGAATGTCACATGATCAATATTTATTGTGATCCGTCAGTATTTAAAGAAAAGCCTCCTCAGGTAGACTGTCACACACAATCTCGATATCCTAGGGACAAAGGAGCGGTCGATCGGCCAGTTCTGGATGCACGAAATTCGATACGTTTAGAAAGGGAGGATTTTAGGGTTTAAGGTTTGTCTGGCAGATACATAGCACGGCGGCATCACGGAGGAGGGCTCTGAGGAGCAAAGCCCGTTGGTGTAGAGGTAGAAGAGAGCTAGAGCACCGACGTTCGTCGGTGCGAAAGGATTCCGATGCTGCCTGTTAGAGAAGAGTCTTCAATCAGTCGGACATTGCTCCACCCCAAACGTGTAAGGAGTACTCGAGACTAAGTCTTATCTGGGCCTTGTACAGAGTGGGGAGGTCATGTGGAGAAAAGTACTTCTTTGCCCTAAACAAATAGCTTAGCTTTTTTCTAGCAGCTGCCACTATTAACGAGATGCGTTCGTGCCAGATCAAGTCCTGGCTGTGCAGATCACCCAGAGTATTACGTATCTTGAAAAGTGACATTTTGCGTTTTTTTTACATAACGTAAGCTATTGTACACTTGACCTGAACTCGTTTTATAACTGTACGTGTTGCTTAAACGTCAGCGAACAGCTATCATAACAAGCAAACATGGAATTAACTATTTGCACACTAAAAACTACTCGGTTTTTTTTACATTTCCAAGGTTTGGACTCCTACCAGCCGAAATGAACGGCTCATTGATAGAAATCGGCCACCAGTTGAAACTGAATGTTGGTCAAGGCACAGTAATATGTTAAACTGTAGCAGATTTTTGCTTCCCGAAGTCAATACCCGTACGCACGCCACTGTTGAAGCTAAAAATTATTTTTGCATTGAAAAATATGTAACTTTATTAACTTGCACTACGTACTAAATATCAGTGAAATATCTGAAGCGGTTCTGAAAATATCAATTAATTTCCATGTTTTTCCTAAAACTTCAACACCCCGAGTTTTTGTAAGGAAACATTTTTGGACCATAGTTTATAAAGCAAACTAACATTAATTTTTCATGTAGATTCACACCCTTATATATTTGTAAATCATTAAGGATCACCCTGTAGAGTGCTTTCATCAGCAAAGTTGTGGGTCGGTTGATCGTACAGGAAATGACGCCATTGATATGTAAGAGGACTGCCACAGCTGATGTCAAGAGCAATATGAGCCTAAGCCTAAACTGACACTGGCGGAATTATCATGAAATACTGGTGGTACACATCACAGTAGATACTTATCATATAACATCCACATTAGCTCAGTTGCTGAAAATTACTAGCTAGTCAGTCAATCTGAAGATTTACACGACTTTTAAACCTGCCCATTGAGATGACATAGACTAGGCTAAGCTAATTCTCAGCAGCTGAGTGCAACAGTATGTAACCATTGATCAATGCTAATAATTAAATATTGTTACAGATGATGAGGTGGTTAAAAGAGAGGAGGAGGCAATAAAATTGGACGGACTTAATGTAGCTCAGCTAAAGGAACTGAGGGAGAAAGCTGAAAAGTTCACTTTCCAGACAGAAGTCAATAGAATGATGAAGCTCATCATAAACTCTCTTTATAAAAACAAAGAGGTAATTTACGTTTTGTTGAACTTTTTTTTTTCAACCTACAGTTCTGTACTGGTTTTTTCAAGGGCTTTATTCTTTTCGAAAATGTGTCAATAAATAAAAATGTTCAACTTGAAAACGCCGCATTTTAAAAACAATACCAACTTAAATCATTAATTGTTCTAACAGCATCCCTGTATCAATGGTGATGAAACAAACTCCTTTTGATTACAGATTTTCTTAAGAGAGCTGATCTCCAATGCTTCCGATGCTCTGGACAAGATCCGTATGCTTTCTCTAACAGATAGGAGTGTCCTTGATACTGAGGCAGACCTTAATATCAGGATAAAGGCTGATAAAGAGGGTGGAGTACTGCACATCACTGATACTGGCATTGGCATGACCAAGCAAGATCTAGTGAATAATCTTGGTACTATTGCAAAATCAGGTAAGTCCTGTGAAGGTATAATTTATAACTTTATGAAACCAATTAGTTATCCCCTGATTTTGATTTTTTCCTTTAATCCAACAGGTACTGCCGAATTTTTGAGCAAGATGCAGAATGCTGAAAACGCGCAGGATATGAATGACATGATTGGTCAGTTTGGTGTTGGATTCTACTCAGCCTTTTTGGTAGCTGACAGAGTTGTAGTAACAACTCACCACAATGATGACAAGCAATACATCTGGGAATCCGATTCAAACAGCTTCAGTGTCATTGATGATCCTAGAGGAGAAACCTTAAAGAGAGGTAAGTGACAGAGAGTAAATATATGCAACATGAGTTGGGAAAGCTATTTGCAAGCTCACAGAATCAAAACTACCTACTGACAAGCAACAAAAAAAAAAAGATGACTCTGAACTAATAAGTTTTGTGTAACATAATTGCTTGATTCATTAAGTCATCATTGTGAAACAGCATTGAGGTGCTCTGAGAGTATTGGTAACATATTTAAGAAATAAGAGCTTTAGACTGATTGCTCATGTTTCTCATCTGCTGCAATCCATTCCATCATTCTCTATGTTATTTTGGAATGCAGCCTAAGTCCCTAGATGTATTATTGAAGAATAAGCTTACCATGGACAAACTATGAATGGCAACATACTGGCCCAAAAAAAGTGGCAGTGGCTTAAGAGAGAAGATATTGAATAACACGTTTTGACCTGCAATTTAAAAACCTGGCCCTACATCCATTCTACACTTTGAAAATAAACTGGAGTTAGTGGAGTTTGACATTGAAAATAGGATGTTTTTTGATATTTCTGGTTGTACCTTATGCTCTACTGCAATTGGTTTTTGATTCACCCTTTATAGTATCACAAATCACAATATATTCCTTACTGCTTTGATAACAACCTGGCATGCTTGTCCAATCTTATCTTTAATTTTAACTTCATAAAGCAATTTATTCTGTTCTGTTTTAACTGTCAAGATTATATTAATCTTATTTTATTATAACACGCTGTTCAGATACCTCTGTAGACATTCATATTTGACGTTGCTGTCTTTGTGTTAAGATTTCCTAGGCATTAAAAGGAAATTGTCTCTGTATGACTAATAAATGACACTAACTAATTAAAATTGAAATCTTAAAAGTTTTGATAATAACTGTAGGAAAAATTTTAAAGTTACTTCTGTTTGCCATTGTGGTACTGCATCTGCAATGTTTCCAAAAGCACTTTTTATACAGAAGGTAAAACAAAGAGTATCTTCTGAATAATTAGCTGAATGATATTTTTAGCAAGTCTTCTTCTGAAGAATCTATAATAGAGTACTTTTTATACTTTCCTGTACGTAAATACTTTTAATGAATGATGATGAATTGTTTATACATAATTCCGATACTGTTCTCAGCTCCTAGATAAAACTAAAAAAGAATTTGTTTTACCAGGAACTACTGTGAGTCTATACTTGAAGCCAGAAGCAAGAGACTTCTTAGAGCATGAAACCATTAAGACCTTGGTGAAGAAATACTCCCAGTTCATCAACTTCCCAATTTATCTTTGGACCAGCAGAACTGACACTGTCGAAGAACCAGTAGATGAAGATATCACAGAAGAAAAAGATAAACCACAGACAGATGAAGATGCGGCAGTTGAAGAGGACAAAGAAGAAGATAAAGCAAAGACAAAGAAAGTTGAGAAAACCATCTGGGATTGGGAGTTGTTGAACGACAGCAAGCCAATCTGGACAAGGAAGCCTAATGAAGTGACAGACGAAGAGTACAACGAATTTTACATGGCGTTGACCAAAGACACTAAAGCACCATTGACTAAGATCCACTTCGTTGCTGAAGGAGAAGTCACCTTCAAGGCATTACTTTTTGTACCTCAAGTTCAACCTTCAGAGAGCTTTAACAGATATGGTACCAAAACAGATAATATCAAACTGTATGTAAGGCGAGTATTCATCACAGACGAATTCAATGATATGATCCCATCTTATCTCAACTTTATTAGAGGTATAGTTGATTCTGATGACCTGCCCTTGAACGTATCTCGTGAAACATTGCAACAACACAAGTTGATCAAAATCATTAAGAAGAAGTTGGTAAGGAAAGTTTTGGATATGTTGAAAAAACTGCCTGAGGAAGAGTATCAAAAATTCTGGAAAGAGTTCTCGACAAATATCAAGCTTGGCACAATTGAAGATCCAGCTAATCGCACTAGATTGGCTAAGTTATTGCTCTTCCACTCTTCTAATACAGACAAACTCATTAGTTTAGCCGAGTATGTTAGCAGAATGAAACCAAAACAGGATAAGATCTTCTACATTGCTGGATCATCCAAAGCTGAGGTTGAGAAATCACCATTTGTTGAAAGGCTTTTGCGCAAAGGCTATGAAGTATTGTTCCTAACAGAAGCTGTAGATGAATATGCTATCTCAGCTATTCCAGAATTCGAGGGCAAAAAGTTCCAGAATGTCGCTAAAGAAGGTTTCAGCTTAACAGAAGCTGAAGGCGGCAAGGAACAATTAGAGCAACTGAAAAATACCTTTGAACCTCTCACCAAATGGCTGGCAGATGATGCTCTTAAAGACAAGATCGCTAAAGCCCTAGTTTCCGAGAGGCTAAGCGATTCTCCTTGCGCATTGGTAGCTAGTATGTTCGGGTGGACGGGTAACATGGAAAGACTCGCCATTTCAAATGCTCATCAGAAATCTGATGATCCTCAACGTAGCTATTACCTCAACCAGAAGAAGACCTTGGAAATCAACCCGAGGCATCCGCTGATCCGGGAATTGCTCAAAAGGGTCAATGATGATCCTTCTGATCCAACTGCCAAAGATATGGCTGTCATGATGTTTAATACAGCTACACTGAGGTCAGGATATATGCTAAGGGACACTGCAGATTTTGCTCAGTCCATTGAAGTAATGATGAGGAAGACGCTTGGTATCTCTTTGGATGAACAAGTTGAAGAAGAAGAGGACATTTCAGAAGAAGCTCCATCAGAAGAGACTAAAGAAGATGAAGAAAAAGATGAAGCACACGAGGAATTGTAAATAGACTACTATGAATAAGAGTGCATGTGGTGTGTTAATGATTTTTTTTTGATTGTTGAACAATCGTGAAAGGCTGTACTATGCTTTTTATTATTATATGTTTAGATGTTAATAAACTAATTTATAAATATGTCTACTTAAACCAAGCTGACTATCCGAAAATCGACTCTGTTTCAAAAAAAAATCACAATAACCGTAAAGGAGGGTATATGACAAGGCTCGTCATCTAGAGGTAGATAAAATTTGGCTGACTTTTTTATTAAACGTCAAAGTTGGAAATATTTTTTTCACGTATCTTCAAATAATTATGTATTATTGGTGTAAGTGGTCCAAAAAAATGTATAGTGGATGAACATATCTTCATAATGAGACCTCACACGGCCAATGTGCCGAAACTTAATTTGTTATTACAACAAAAAAATTCGTTGATTTTTACATTTATTTTTAACTGAAAAACGCAAAACGATAAATCTGAAATAATAGCATAAGTAAAAGCATTCGTGGCACTTAACATCCACAAAAGTTTATTCAAAAATGCTCAACCGTTTCAGCAAATTTCTAATTATTTTTTTTGAGGAGACATTTTTTTGACAGATGTTGTTTCTTGGACAACAACATCCCATTCATGCACATTGTCATCAAATTTCAAACAGTTTGTTTTCTGACGTTTCAGAAGGTCCTGATCATTTTAAAAACATGTTTGCAGGGGTTAGAAATTTGCAGTTAGAGGTTGTAGGGGGTGGCGAAGAGTAAATGCCAATTTTTTGGTGCTAGCAATGTATACGTTTCCAACCCAGGTAAGCACTTAGTAGACACATTTCATAAATGAAAGATTTTTCCATGCATTTGCCCTTTTCATGTACGCGGGTCGGACAACTCAACGAGCGCGCGCTCTACTTTGGTGGGGCGGTAGGCTAGATCGTATTGGTGGACTGATTGTATGATTCCTTTGTTATACATGTTCGTAGCCTATGATTTTCTAAGAGGGATTAACAGCGTTGTGTAGAAAGTGCAGCGTTGTCAACCTCTACTGGGCGCCATTGTTTCAACTATGGGCCTTTCACTTACATCTAATTGACGCTTAATCCCTAAGGAAAAATAATGCTGCATTAGTTACAGGCATGCAAGTAATTGCATAGTGTTAATGGGGGTATGAAATAAATAAGACATTTAAAATAAATAGGTTTATTAATCTTTAGAAGATACTCCTCAAGGTGTCAAATAAGAACTGCCAGAATGCTGAAAAATAAGTATTCTGTAAATGGCACTGAAATCCTGTAGCAAAATACTAAAAACCATTACATTCTGATCCATTGAACTTAATACAAAAAAGTGGATATTCATTTATTTGAGGACATTGACATTGTGCTGCTGTGGCGAATAAAAAAGAAGGTTGTTTTACCATATAGCCTGACCATATTAGCAAACCTTCAATTATTGTAATGTTTGGTTTATCTATACAAACTGAGGGTATTTAAAACATGGACATATGAAATGGGAAGCTTAATTTAACTGGGAAAACTTTTCACTTAACAAAGAATGAGAAAACTGGTTTTTCTGGATTCAATCAAAAGCATTTGCGAAAACGAAAAAAACTCGTCAAATATCGTTATGAAATACTAAATGATATAATTAAGAAAAAAGCCGATGAAAACAAAATTATAGTCGATTGCTCAAGTAGTTTTTGAGAATTCCTAATTGCTTATTCCAAAACAGCCAACATGACAAGGTTCGAATTGAACTTTAAAGCAATACACTGGAATTTACCTCGCCAATATAAATTAAAAACCAGTGTTATTTTTAAGCGAAAATCATGAGTACTTTTTTTATTTTAAACAAATTCAAAGGTTCCATGTTTGTGAGGAATCAGACAAATGGGCCACGTCATTAGAAAAACGTACGTGTTCATAAACATTTAAAAAAAAGGGACATTTTGTTGCAAAGCATTCTTTCCAACATTTCATACTTTCACTTATACATTGTTAAAGCTGACATGGCCAATATGATCTGACTGAATGTCACAATAGCACAGCATCCATAGAGATCTCAAATAAGAGCACAATATACAGTGATACCGTGTATGCTACACCGCTACCAAAGAATATCTAAATGTACCTACTTCCCAGTAAATAATAGTTTGAGAGATGCATTTCTCGCTAATATTTATTCTCTTTTAATAAATTTGTATTCACGTTAGCCATTATCGTGGTGGGTATGGAATAGAAATAAAATAATGTTTAAGGGGAGAAAATAATAAATCATTGATCCGTGAAAAACAATTTATTTGCCTGAATTCAAAAAAAGGCTCGAAGAGTATTCATTAACGTCTGCCAGAGAGCTGCAACGAAAAATTCTTAATGTAAATGTGTATTCATAAAAATTGGAATCAATAAAAAGCACCTCGGTTAAACTTTTCCAGCGGACTTGATTTTGTACTTATGCAAGAAACCTTACAAGGGATTTTTTATGGTCCCGCTACCCTCTACACCCTTGTGCCACACCATACCAATATAACTATATTACTTCTAAAACCAAGTTGTAGTTAAATAGGTTCGTATCATAAGCAACTAGATCAAATTCATCCTGAAACATTTCAAAAGCAGTGATTTACCATGCCAAGATCAAAGTTTTTTACCAACAGCTCTACTAGCCGAGTGGTTGCTACTAATCGCTAGACCCGAGACACGCGGACTCGAACCTCCTAATCGGTTAAGTTGATTCCAAGCCATGAATGTTGTGTTTTGGGTTGTCTATATCACGCACCAGATTGGTACAAGATTAATGATATTTATGTAGTTTGCATCGCTGAAGCTGGGTTATTCAATAATCAGTTACCAGTAGATGACTTGAGAAGTAGTACAGTGTTGGTACTACAGGGTCGGCAAAAAGGGTCGCCTATAAGTACCAGGCTTCGCCTCCCCACTACTACCAATAGCTCTGCACAGCGCGACCTTTTATCTCCCATAACCTTAGCTACCGCTACCAGTAGATCTTATTCTTGCTTCTACCTTATTTTTTATTTAATAAACTCACGTATTTCTGTATTTCTCGTTACCGTTTTGCTTTCCTTCGGCGTTGGATAGAAAATTTCAGGCGTGAAAAGGTTTTCTAACAGATTCTATAAGAGAATACGAGATTATTTTACCAAACGTTAAGAATAAAAATATTATTTAGCTTTAATTTACGTAAACAATTATCAACTATGTATATTTCTTCATCAAACAATTTTCAAAATTCAATTTTTCAGATATAAACACATTTTAAGTATATTCATTTGTCTTAAGCATGGGCGCCCAGTGGGGAAGGGGCAGATGCCCCCCTGGATTGTGCTTCAAAGTGAAATATTCTTAATAAGATACCCAATCCTTGGCTAAGAAGTGGCGTGTGGGAACATCCCAATATAGAAGATATTAATCAAATCCAAGCGAATAACCAAAATTTCTGTATTATGTACCGTGTTTGTAATATGGTTTAAGATCACACACGGGTTGATGACATCAGTCACTCGAATCGCTTGAACGCGTTGGTTTTAACCGCGGTTTTGTTGCAAGTTGTTTATTTTAGAAAAGCGCGTATATAATTTTCGATTATTTTTATTATCACTTAATAATCGGTGCTTTTTCGTCTAGAACAGTATATGGAAGGTTTATAAAATAAACCTTTCATAATATTAATGGGAGAAAGTTTGTTTTCAGAAAAATTTAATGATGGAACCATGGCTTTGTAGCCATGGTAACCTTCAATTCTTTAAACTTGTCCGCATGTTAAAGAAAATATTTATTGATTGAGCAGAAATGATAGGAAAAAGAGATGAAAAAAGATATTAGCAAAACCGTATACAGGTGGACATTATCCAGCGCGTATATAATTTCTGATTAATTGTATTATCACTTAATAATCGGTGTTTTTTCGTCTACTACGGTGTATGGAAAGTTTAAAAAAGATACGTTCTATAATATTAATGGGAGAAATGTTTTTCAGATTTTTTTTTAATGGGGAACCATGGCTTTGTAGCTATGATAACTTTCAATTCTCTAAACTTTTCCGCATGTCAAAGAAAATATTTATTGATTTAGCAGAAATGATAGGAAAAAGCGATGAAAAAAGATATTAGCATATCCGTATACAGGTGGACATTATCCAGTGAGTTTATATGGCCATATTTTAATATTCTTGTGGTATATGACTACACATGATACTTTGTTAAGCATAGGAACTAGATTTAAAGTGTCCCCAACAACAGTAATGAGTATATCTAATAAGATGCTCTACTTTATGCTACAACTGAAGTCAGCCTGTATCAAGTTTCTCAAAATGAAGCTGAAGTACAACAAAAATATCCATTACCCGCCAAAATTCTAACTTGTTACATTTCAAATCATAACTAGAAATATAAAACTACTCGGGAGTTGGGTAAATACCACAATTTTACAGTGATAACTATGACATATAACAGCTGATTCATGACGTCACGGATCTTATAACCAAAGTGATAACTACACTCGCTTGAACGGATCGGTAAATATCAATCCAAAATGGTAAATACCATTTTCATTTGGTTATTCGCTTGAATTTGATTAAATTATTTCTGCTACCATTTTCGTTCTCAGCATTTGATGTGATCCTGCACAACATGCCCCCTCCTGAATTTTGCTATATGGGCGGTCATGGTCTTAAGTGAGTGTAATCAAATTATTCTACCTGAAGATAGCCAACTTAATGTTTTTGCGTGTCCGAAAAATTATACGAGATGAAATGGGCTACCGTAGCGTCATCTATGAGAATTTGTTCCACCTATCTTTCTCCTCTCCCCGATAATAAATATTTACTTTGAAAAGGTTCGTGTCTCGTAGATCGCGCTGTAGCTGTGTGCTCATATATAGTATAGTTAGTTACAGCGCCATCTATGAGTCACTAACGTTTTCAAATTAGATTGCTAACTATTGCGGTAAAATTTTCGGACGCCCGAATATAGGATTAGGCTAGCTATCTTCAGATAGAATACATTAAAAAACGGTGTTATACAACTCCAAAGCTTGCCACTCTTCTTGTATTGAGATTGATAACTAATCGTGTTTACCGTTTTGAGATAACTGACTAATACCCTAGATCTACTCTAGTGGCTAATCCGAATTTTTTGTGAAGTTCTTGAAATTGTACTTGATCTGTTTATATCTCCTGATGCTGTGAAAAATATTGATAACCTACCAATCTTTTAGTAACACCATCGGCAACATCAGCTGTAAAAGCTGGCAACCCTTTAGCCTTTAGGTTCTTGACGGCAAAGAGACTCCCGGCAGCAGGGTAGAACAGCCTCTCATTTGCACTCAAGGATACTCTCGAAGTAGTTACGAAAAGGATGTCCAAATTGGGCCCACCGAACATAGCTGATGTTACGTCGCGAGCTGGAATCGGTATTACCTGAAATCGAGGTGATGCCGATAAGAAAAGGAAATAATATTGTATTTTCAGTTTCAGTCAATATTTCTAGCAAATATTCACACTTCCAACACAAGAACTCTTATGAACAGAAATAACTCAGCAAAATCCTTATGTTATATGGCTGTTGACTACGTTTTCAACATGTAGAATTCTCTGATCGGTCCAAAATCCTTACAGTAGTAGCTTACGAGATAGACGGGCTTCATCGTGTGTTTCTTATTTTCGTAAGGAGTAAGTGTATAACTGAAGTTTTTCAAAATCGTGTTTTCAGAACAGTTTGAAGTACGATAAATACTGCTGTCTATACAGGGTGTTCCTTAATGATATGCGAATATTTAAGGGTGTGAATCTACATGAAAAATTAAATTTAGTTTGCTTTATAAACTATAGTCCAAAAATGTTTCCTTACAAAAACTTGAGGTGTTGAAGTTTTAGGAAAAAAATGGAAATTAATTAATATTTTCAGAACCGCTTCAGATATTTAACTGATATTTAGTACGTAGTGAAAGTTAATAAAGTTGCATATTTTTCAATGCAAAAATAATTTTTAGCTTTAACAGTGGCGTGCGTACGGGTATTGAATTCGAAATTTAAAAATAATAGTACGCCAACGGTTTTTTACCAAATAAAAATTATTTTTGAATTCGGTTTTTATTTTTTTACTGAAAAATGGCGCAGGAAAAAGGAAGGAAAACAATTCAAGAGAGATCATTTGTTTTAAATTGAACTAGGTATTTGGCAAAAAACCATTGGCGTACCATTTTTTTCTTAAAAAATATCGAAGTCAATACCCGTATGCACGCCACTGTTACAGCTAATAATTATTTTTGCATTGAAAAATTTGCAACTTTATTAACTTTTATTACGTACTAAATATCAGTGAAATATCTGAAGCGGTTCTGAAAATATTAATTAATTTCCATTTTCTTCCGAAAACTTCAACACCCCGAGTTTTTGTAAGGAAATCTTCTTGGACCATAGCTTATAAAGCAAACTAACATTAATTTTTTATGTAGACTCACACCCTCAAATATTCGCATATCATTAAGGAACACCCTGTATAAGACAGGCTAGCGTTGATACATAAGGGGTTAGCAGGATTTTTTTGCCAATAAAAGTAGCGCCTGTTATTGAGATGACGCATTTAGCTTATGTAAAACCAATGCCAACAGCGAGCGAGAGATAATCAACACACCTTCAACAATTTTTTGGTAGTTGGGTTTACTTTCAAAATTGCGCCGCCGCCATACAGAGCGATGTAAAGGTTGTCCTCATCATCGATAGTCATTCCATCTGGTAGACCTGTGAGCCTGCCCTTGTAGTCTCTCATATCAAATACAGTTCTATTTTCTTTTGATATGGTGCCCATTCTGTCATCATAGTCAAACTCCACCACCTGTTTAATACATAGTAAAGACACAAGTTAGCCATCTTAAGTTTGACGTGTAATTCCCTCAAACAAATAATTATGTATACGTCTTTTCACGGTTCTTGGCGGTTACGTTACAATCTCAAACGAAATAAGTAAACAGATTAATAATATAACTGCACCATGTGCGAATAAAGCAGCTTCTACTCGCTCTTGCATACGCAAATGAATTATGTGACAGAGTACCGTTGGTTTCATTCACTTTCTGAAAACATTCCAATAAATTTGACACAGATTGTAGATATTGTAGTTACATTTTCAGTTATCTAGAGGGTCAGTGCATACATTTTGTGTGAGGGAGATAGTTCTATGAAAGTAATTTCTGTAGTTTTACTGTGACCCGCGAAAAACCGTGAAAAGGAGTTTACAAGTAATGTACATTGCTTTTTGTAGCCACCTTACCAAAATTTGATAACATAAGATAGAGAGGAGCGTAATTTAGGTGATTTTGAAACTACGTCAGCCTATTCGCCCATCAAATTTAGTATATTCGGGTAATTTTAGATTGTGTACAATATGAAAAATATACAAAAAACCTACGTTAACATACATTATCAACTCACCTTTAAAGTGGGTGTGTCAATGTAGTACATCTTGTTGTTAGCCTTGTTCCATGCCAGTCCATTACTGTTTGTGACAGGAGCTCTAACCACTTCTGGATTTTGTAGGTTTTCCCTTGTGAATTTATAGAGTACACCTTCATTAGGAGTAACGTGTCCATTTGCTTCAGGCCCAATTGTACCTGGAATTTATAACAAACCTCGTACAAGCAATGCGTCTTTAATTTTTTTGTTTCAGCAACGATTTGTACATAATACTGCCAGAAATTGTCACCAATTTGCCCAAATCAATTGAAATAATAGACAGACATCTTTGATGATTTGACTTTTTGTAAGACTAAAGACACACTTAAATGTTTGTTGCTATAACTCTGAACATTTCTGTTGGAAAGTGTACGTATGAAAATAAGAATTTGTTTACTTTTTCTGCAACTCATCTAAACTAGACTTTGTTGTACAAATATATTCTTTAAATAGCGCCTTACCCCACCATAGTCGTCCTTGTTTGTCAGCTTTTCCATCGTTGAACCTCGATTTAGGGAATTGCTGGCTTATAGTTGATAGGATTTCTTGATCTCCCAATTGTTTCTTTCCATCCCATTCTACAACTACGACTGATCTACACAAAAAAACAAATGTAAAAAAATACGGTTGAAAATAATGTTTCCCAACAATTTCCTGAGGACTATACAACTTAGGTATAAGAATATGATGGTGACAGAGACTCTACTACATATATTGTTTTTACCTGTTTAATCCGACAAGTAGCACATTCGGGTTGTTCCTAGCAGGCACAACAGGTGAGGCTTCTCCATTCAGTGTGATCTTTGACACTTTCTTGGTGTAAAAGTGGTAAGCCAATACGCCTCCCGCGTGTATGTCCACGTAATAAAGGATGTTCTTCCTACCATCCCAGTGAGGTTCTTCGGCGTGATCTACTGGGGAAGTTACTTGGACTACGTATGGTCCATCGAAATCTGTAAAACTGGGAGGTCTGGAAGCAGAAAATCAAATGATTTAATTTCATTCTATCGTATTAAGTCCATTTTATTCTATCGTATGTATCCGAAGTGCTGATGGGCTACCAGTGACCGTGTCAAACTTCGTACATCCACAACTGGCCGATGCGAACGCTCCTTTGTCCCGAGGGTGTCGAGATTGTTTAACAATCTACAAGAGGAGGTATTTCCCAGTTCTACTAACCTTAGGCAGTTCCAAAATCGGATTAACAAACTTTATTTGGGATCATCATAGCAGCCGAGGTGTCTCGGCATTTAGGCTTCAGCCAGCGCAGCTGCTTCGGCGTAAAAAGAAGTATTTGAGCAACATTGCTTAGAACGATTTTGAAGTCAAGCTTGCGTATGCGAATAATATTAAGAGGCTCACCATCAAACAAGAAAAATCATCACCATCTAAATGACGAGGAATTCCATCTACACAAACATGATAGTTTCACATAAAACATGACCCCGCTCAGTTGGTTGATGTCGTAGCACAGCTCCAGTGGCCTCGTTCTAGAGGCGGGATTATGAAGTTTTGTCCCGACACACTTCAGTCGCCATCATGCGTTGAACAGTGTGTGTGAGGAGCGTGCTTTTGCCGTTGAGGCCTACTTTATATAGCGGATGTTCTGTGATCACAACACAGTCCACCTCTCGGAATCGCTTTAACCTGGATCCATTGGCTCCTGTCGGAACGGAAGTCGATTATTACGAGAGTCACTACGTTCAGGCAAACTGTAAGTGCGACAAGAAGAAAAACTGGTGTCCCTAGGCCCATTAGATTACCTCAATCATTAAGGCTGTGAGACCTTCGTTGCGATCACCACGGCGTTCTAGGCGCAAACATGCGTCTGCCCTTGGACTTACCGACCGTTCTGTGGGAAGAATTCTTCACGATAATCTTGACTTCCATCCTTACAAGATGGCAATTGTGAGGGAACTTTCAGAATGTAACTTCAATTCTCTGATGAACGCGTGTGAGCGTCTCCTCAAAGTCGTTCCTGAGAACACTATTTTTAAACAAAACAGGCGTTACTGGGCTGACACCAATCCTCGATTCAAATAAAATCACAGTGTGGTGTGCAATTTCCTCAGCTGAAATTATTGGTCTCTGGTTCTTTGAGGAAGATGAAGTCGGAGTGGCAGTGAACTCGGACTGGTATGTAAACGTGTTACAAGATTTTTCCGCGGTTAGGTGAGTTGGACTTAGGGGTTCCAACAAGACGGTGCAACGACACACACTCCAAGAACATCATCGGCTGTTTTGAGGTAACACTTCCCATAGCGCCTCATCTCAATTATTATGGACGATTTGGAATGACGCGCTCGCTCTCCCTTTGTTCCCTTAAGATTTTTTTCTACGGGATTTTTTGAAATCTCGTGTTTATGTGAACCGTCCAAGGACCCCACAAGATTTGAAGACCAACATCCAGTAAGAAGTTTCCAACATAACTCCTGCTATGCTGGCAAGAATCGTGACAAACGCCAGAAATTGGTTTACACATAATCATTAGTATGTAATGCCTTATAAAGTTTTCCTTTGAAGAGACTGGCTTTTATATCGATCGCAAGTACGGAGAGATTACGTACCTAATGGAAAACGTTTTAGTATTACAAACACCAGTAGGGCGTAGGAAACTCACGTACGTGAAATAAAACAACTCAATTACACTAAATCATATTATAGCTTTGCTTGATCCGGTAATACACAAATACGAGGGTAGAATGAAAATTTATCGGCCTGACAATGAATGACTGCAATTTTCAGTCAAAAATTGTTTCATTTTTTACATAATACCCTTCAGTTTCAAAAGACTTGGTCCAAGGTTTCTCCAACATTAGGAATCCATTAGTAGAAGTCTGAAAGGCTGTGAAAATATTCAGCTACGTTCATCTCAACTTCTTCATTGGATTCAAAGCGCTTTCCAGACAAAAAAAATCCTCAAATCTGGGAACAGATGACAGTCTTAGTGTACCAAATCAATTTAATACGGGATAATCGAGCAAATCAAACACTAAATCCTGCAAGTTTAGGGCTAGTGGTACCTTGTTTTGATGAAAAATTATCTTTTTCTTCTACAAGCCAGGTCTCTTCTCACAAATTTGAGATATCCAGTTGATCAAGGAGTATTTGACCGTAATTTTCTACCATTTCCAAGGAAATCTATTCCGGAAGATGCAAATCGACTTCTCTTCTTTGACCCTGAACCACCGGCTTCCACCATTTTCCACCCACTGCTTCGATTGCTGTTTTATTTCTGGCGTTCAGTGGTAAAGAGCGCCGCATAAAATCGATCGGATCTCTGATGAATTGGACCAAACATTTCTGCGAAAGTTGTTTACGCATCCGCTGCACAAAGCCTTCTCATCCCAAGTTCTTTGTGCAAGGTGTTTCGCACCCTTTCTTCCAATATGCCCACATCTCATCTTATCTCACTCACCTTGATATGCATATAGTCCAACACGTTTCGTGTACCTTTTCAATGGTTTCAGGTGTGTTGGCGGTTTTTGGCCGCCCTTTACGTGGGTCATCTTTAATGAACGTAAAACAGATTCAAATTTGTCAGACGACAAATGAGATATGAACCCATGCTTTAATTATATAAATATTGTGCCATGTCTGTGTCAGGCCGAAAGCTTTTCACCTGATCCTGGTAATAAATTCTACCTTTTTAATAGCGTAATTTCCGGGTTATAGTATAAATAATATGCATCTGAGTTTTAGGGAAGGCGCTTAGTGTGCAAAATGTGAGGATCACGCTTTCAGATTTCAGCTGAGAAAAGGTCAAAGAATAATAATCCGGATTTTGTCCCGCCACCTTTTGGTCGATTTTTTAATCCTCTCCCCTCTTGAATTATTACATGACAAAGTTGACTTCCGAATTTTTTATGATTTCTCGGACCATTCTGAACAAGAAAATTCCTTAGTAACTTTTCTTTAAAGTCAAACGTTTCGGTTTAATGTCCGAAAAAAACCTAAAATGCTTAATGATTAAAATCTCGGATAAGAATAATTTTAGAGGTTGTATTGAATATCTGAAGGAAAACTAAAACTGCCCTGTATAAGTCTCCGAAGAGCAGGGCCGGTCCTAGGGTGGTGAGCGCCTGCATGCAGGATTTTTGGTGCGCCCCTATGTTTTGAATTTAAGATGCCCTATAGGTATTATAACATATTCTTACAATGTCATCGATACAATTAATACAAAAAAGAAAAATAAAACGACACAGTTTGAAGGATTTATTTTTTTAATGTCACATAAAAAAGGTCACTGCAATACAGTAGGAGGTTAACACAACAGTAGAAATGCGTAAATTAACAAAGAGGTTTTGGAATATTACCCAAAAAGATACTATGAGGACGTAACTAATAATAAATTGATCAAAACACGACACGTCTTGCTGTCACAAGCATCTTTGTAGAGTCTGAATGAAATTGTAAAAGAAAAACTTATCTCAAATTTTAGGATCCACTGAAAAAAACCTACAATCTCGCAAGAAACTTTAGCTGCATCAGTGACAGTTGAATTCAACGTATGAGCTGAACAATGTCGGCGCAGCTCTTTAGACCTTCGAATGTTGCTCAGGTGTTCCATCATAATTGGATCAAATTGGCCAATCATTTCAACAAGTTTCATAAAATTTCCATTATTTGATTCATAAAGATTCGAGCTGTCAGCTCTTAAAGCTAAATTTTGACCGGCCAAATACTGCACAATTCAAATCATTCTTTTAATGATTTCGCGCGATCGCTGTTTTTCAATTCCATACTGTTTTTGTTGTCCCTTATCAATAGTGCTTTCTTTACTCAAACGCAGCTTTAACTCAAGCCATTTTTGAGCACTTTTCATATGCTTCATACTATTTTCATGGCGAGAAACATTAACAGAAAGATGTCTCCAATTATAATTGCCAGTGGTTAATTTATGAGACTACGTGCTATAAACTTCACAAAAAATGCAGAATAAATACAGCATTAATTTTTTTAGAATACACCAACAAGTCCCTATTAACTTTTTCGCCGTTTGGTAACTGCCTTAAATATTGAGTGGATGAGAATTTTCTAGCAGTTTCATCAACAGGAAAATTTTCCATGATTTGAATAGCGCCTTTTGTAAGAATGTGAATGAAGTGGAATCAGCATTTCAGAGGTAGATAGTTGCTGGTCGTCAATAAATAACCACTGGCTCTGCGGTTGGAATGGGAGTTAGATTCGGCGATGAAAAATTTGGTCAGCGATCCACGAAGTTTTTCCCGTTGCGCCTCCATTTTCAATGGGCGTTTTTTATATGGAGCTTCAGATAATTTTTTGCTACTGCCTTCGCTCATTTCAGATATTACTGAAGAGAAAAAAATCAATGAGCTAACAGACCCCATCGGAAAGTAATTCTAAAATTCTCAATTTCGAATTATTGTTAGGGCCCTTGCACACCACGTTTTTTTTTCAGGCGCCGTTGACGCTCGATTCACGATCGCGCTTTAGCTGCTTAACTTGAAAAAATAGATACATACATTGGTTGTGATCACATCGCGCCTACAGCGCGTCCCGATTGCGTGAAATACACGTCGACGGCGGGACCTTAGATTGATTATTCTTTATTCTTTATTTCTTTATTTGTGTTAAGTACACTAGCGTGTTTACACAAGTCAAAAGAAAAACAAAATTAATACAAAAATAAAAAAGCAGTCTGACAAAAGACTGATGTTCAAATTACACAGAAAAACATCAACTTATGACATTATGATTCAATAAAAACAGATACAGTCCATAAAAGTTGTAAAAACAGGAGGACATATATACGTACATAGATACACGCATATTCATTTAACCACAATATGTTTACTTCTACACACACACACACGCACACATACATATATACACACATACACACATATACGTTAAAATGGTAAGACATATGAAATGTTGATATAAAAATTTACCAGATGACTTAGTAGCAAATTCAAGGAGCCTAGAGGATCCCAGGTGTAGGAACAC